TTGCTAATAATAATAGCTGGAGAGGCGGCTGCTGGTGGGGGACATGCGGCACACGCCGCCCGGCCACGGTTCAAACAAAGGCAACAAATATATTTAAAGAGTAGAGCCACGGCCAGGTGGAAAAGGCACCGCAGTTAATGTGCAGCAGCCGGCAGCGCCGGGGCAGGACCAGACCTTGGGTCCCGGTGGGAAGCGGGTGGGTGCCGCGGTGTCCCTCCCCACCCCGGCTCAGGGCACCCGCTCCCACCCCACAGCACCGGCCGACCCCTGCCAGAACAACCCCTGCCTGCACGGCGGGACCTGCCGTGCCAACGGCACCGTCTGCGGCTGCAGCTGCGCCCCGGGCTTCACCGGGGAGAACTGTGAGATCGGTGAGTGACCAGAGCATCTCGCCGTGCCGGGGCAGGATCTGGTCCCGCATCCCAGCACGGCACGGAGCAGCGACCACGCTTGGAAGCGGGGAGGGGAATGGGGCTGCGGCTCTTAAATCCTGCTCGATTCCCCCGTGCTCGGTCACCACCGGCACTGGCGGTGGCAGAGGGGACGGTGGGCTGGGCGGGCGGTGGCGGGGTGTCTCCGTATACCCACAGCTCCTGGCGTTTTCTGCAGACATCGATGACTGCCTGTCCAGCCCCTGCCAGAACGGTGGCACTTGCATCGACGAAGTCAACTCCTTCGTCTGCCTCTGCCTGCCCAGCTACGGTGGCAGCCGCTGCGAGAAAGGTGGGGACCCGGTGTGCCCCGGGTGTGTTGCCATGGGGTGGGCGAAACCCCCACGGGGACACTGCCCAGCCCCTGGCCCTTTGGGAGCAGGCATGGGGAGCTGGGAAGGGGACGGAAAAGTCCTGCCCCCTCCATGATGGGGAGCTTGTTCCCTGCATCCCTTCCCGGGGTCCTGGGGGACCGGTTCCCCTCACCGTGCCCATCTCCCCGCAGACACGGAGGGCTGCGACCACAACTGGCACAAGTTCCAGGGTCACTGCTACCGGTACTTTGCCCGCCGGCGCTCCTGGGAGGATGCGGAGCGGGATTGCCGTCGCCGTGCCGGCCACCTCACCAGCATCCACTCGCAGGAGGAGCTCGGCTTCATCAACGGTGCGGGGTCGGGGGGAGAACACCCCATCCCGCAGCTCTCCAAGCATCAGCACCCCCGGGTGCTCTTCGCCTTCACCGTGCGAGCCATGGGTGCCTCTCTCCGTAGGCTTCGGGCACGAGAACACCTGGATCGGGCTCAATGACAGGATCGTGGAGCAGGATTTCCAGTGGACCGACAACACCGGCTTGGTGAGACCCTTGGAGGTGCAAGGCGGGGGGGCTCAGGGTGCAGGGCATGGGGGGGGCACAGGGGCTCTCACCCTCTCTCCTGTCCCACCAGCAATATGAGAACTGGCGGGAGAACCAACCCGACAACTTCTTTGCGGGCGGCGAGGACTGCGTGGTGCTGGTGTCCCACGAGATCGGCAAGTGGAACGACGTGCCCTGCAACTACAACCTGCCCTACATCTGCAAGAAAGGCACAGGTACCGCCTGCCCCGGCATCCCCATCCCGCAGCCCCCAGGCACCTCCTCATCCTCAGGAAACCTATCCCAGCTCCTCGTCCAGGAAAACTCAAGCAGTTCCCCTTAATCTCCATTTTTCCTTTTTTTTCCCCACAGTCAATTCTTCCCTCTCCACTTTAATTTGTTTAATTTGCCACCATTAAAACTATTAAGTTCTCATTCCTTATCTTGAAAGTTATATTAACCTCCAGCCGCTCGTTGCGAGCCGGAGGAGCATGCCGCCCTCTCCCACCGGCCGCATGTTAACGACGCGCTCGCCCCGATAAGGCCATTAATTAACAAAGTAAATCCTGGGGAACACCTCATTGCCAACCTGATGGAGCCCCTCCTAAAGCCATCCACCACCGCTCCGGCTCGTGGAGAGAACCGGTGGCATCGGCAGAACGTCCCCTCGTCCCCTCCCAGTGCTGGAGGGGTGACGGGGGTCTGTCACCCCCCCCAGTGCTGTGCGGGCCCCCGCCGGAGGTGGCGAATGCCTTCACCGTGGGGAAGAAGAAGGAGAAGTACAGCATCCACTCCAGCGTGCGCTACCAGTGCGAGGAGGGCTTCACCCAGCGCCACGTGCCCACCATCAAGTGCCACAGCACCGGCAAGTGGGACCGGCCCAAAATCCTCTGCACAAAACGTTAGTGGGGATGGGGGGGTCCCGGGGAAGGGGCGGGGGGGAGTGTCAAGGCACCGGCTCCCTCCTGGGGCCGTGGTTCCTGACCCCCCTGGGTCCCCTCCCTTGCCCCCGTTAGCCAGGCGGTCGCACCGAGCGCGGCGTCACCACCACCACCGGCACAGCCACCCCCACCACCAGCACCACCACCACAAACCCCGCAAGGAGCGGCGAAAACACCGCAAGCACCTCCGGCTGGACTGGATGGAGGAGGGTCACTACTTCTAGAGCCGGGGGACGAGGAAGCACAAGGGTCCCCGACGGGATGTGGTGACGTTTCCCGCCCCCCTCCCATTCCCCCCCCCTCTTTTATAACCCCCCTTGGCTTTAGCTCCTAGGATGCCCGGCCCCCTAGGGAATAGGATCCGGAGGGGGCGGCTGCGTGTGCGTCCCCAGCCCTCCTTGCATGCCCCACGCTCAGCCCCCCCAACCCGGGGTCGAGCCCCCAGCCCCACACGGGGACCCCCGCCCCCCAATCCCTGCGCGGGGGGCTGTTCCCCGGCTGGGCTCTGGCCCCCTCCCCAAAGAGGGGGGTTAATCTGCCAGCCCCCCCCCCATCTCCCACCTTGGCCATCGTGTCTCACTGGCCCAGGGTGGCTCTGGTTTTTTAGCAGCCCCCCACACCTCCATCTTCCCACCCCGGCACCCCGGTCTTGCCCGTGGGGCATCCCTACGGCCGGCACGGGGACCCTGCCCGACACGGGGAGGGGGATGATGCTACTGGGGCCGGTGTCCTGCTCTGCCGCCTGGTTTGGGGTTGGTTTATTTTTTTTCCCCTTTCCGTTTGTCGTCGGGTCCCCGTTGGAGTTGGCGTGTGTGTGTGTGTGTGTGTACGGCGCTTTCCGATCTCTGCTGTTTGCGACGTGACTGCCGTGTCCCGAGCCCCCCTCCCTGTCCCCTCCCTGTGCCATTTCTGACTCTGCCTTTCTGTACTGCTGGACATTTTAATAAATTTTTTTAACAGTTGAGCGGCCCTGACCCTGTGCTTTCCTGGGGGCAGGCGGGGGAGCGGGGACCCCAGGGACAGTCCCCTCGCAGCCCTTGCCTTGCCTTGGCCGGGAACTGCCTCACCGGCGCTTTCCATCTGCCTCCTTTCGCTGCCACTAAATTAATTTTAAGCAAACCTAATCCTTCTCCCAGGGCTCGTTGTGCCAACCCCACCGCCTGCTCGTGGCGCGAGCCGAGTGCTCATGAATCACGCCGGCGGTGTCTGCCGCGTGCATCGCCCGTGGGGAGCAGCGTGGCCGCGGCTTTCCCTGCCGGCCTAGATAAGACGCAGAGATGCTGATGAATTTATCAGGGTGCTGCCTGCGTTAACCGTGGGTACAGGGTCTGCGGCCCCCACCCCGGCTGCCCATCTATCGGTGTGTGATGGCCACCACCTGGGGCTCCAGTGGCCCCCGGCACGCATGGTCTCCCCACTCTCCCCTCCCGGGGGGGTGGTCACGGTGGCTGGGGGTGTCACATCCTAGCAGCTATTTATTTTCATCAATGCTGGCAGTCGGTAAAGTGGATGGATGGTCTGTGCTCAGCTGCACCGGGCATGGAGAAAGCCCCGAGCCCCCTCTAGTATGGGGGACCCCGGGGTCCCCACCGGTGCCTGGTTGTCCCCGCAGTTGCTGCCAGCGCTGTGATGCCCCAAGGTGACTCTGCTCATGCTGCTCCCTTGGATCTGGTCCCGATAAATCCGAGAGGGATGCTGTTGGGATGCTCCAGCTGGGATGATCCGAACTTGCCCAGCTCTGGCTGCGAGGGAGGGTGCAGTGGGGCCGGGGGGTCTGACTGGGGAGCGAATATAAGGGCTGTCGGGGTGAGCAGCCCCACGGCGCAGGGCAGCCCGGAGTCCCTTTTGCACCCAAGATGCCCCTCGAGGGTGGCACCAAAGAAGGACACGCAAGAGCCTGGCTCAGCTCTGAAAAGCGGCCAAAGCTTTTATTTCATCTACGTCCAGCTCGCGAGCGCCAGGCCTGCAAAAAGCCTCGGGACGGTGCTCAGCCGGGTGGGCGCAGGGGATGGTGCCCACCCAGCACCTCCCCGCTCCCGCCATCGGCCGCTTCTGCACAAAGCCAAGCGCAAAGGAGCTGCCCCAGCCCCGGGCTCGCCGGGTACCAGCCCCGGCCCTGTGGGGTGGCCGGTGGCGAGCGGGTTCATATGGGTGCTGGAGGGGCTGCAGGTGCCCCCCCTCCAGCTGCCCATGTTGCATGAAGCCAAGCCCAGTTCCCCCAGTCCTTGCCCAGGACCAAGGTGGGATTTGGGGGACAGGGGAAGGGAGCCCATCGCAGGTCAGCCCCCACTGCAGAGACGTGCTGGTCCCACGATGCTGGTTGCCTGCGGCATCTCCCTGTGGATTCAGTGCTGCGTGGCCCCAGGGACAGCGTGGAGCCGGGGATCCTGGGCGTGAGGATGAGGACAGCGGGGGCTCAAGCCTGCTTTGCTCTGGATGGGCCTTTAGCACATGCAATATGCTGATTGACAAGCAAGAACTGCAACGAGCTGGGGAGCCAGCCCTGGCTCCAAGCGCAGGCTCCTGGCTGGGCTACTGAAGTCATTCCCCTCCCGCTGCCTCAGTTTCCCCAAGCGTCACCGGGCTTTGTCCGCAGCCCGCGGCACAGCAGCCCGCACTGGCATCGCACGGGCACCTCTCCCAGTCCAACGCGGGGGCTGCCCGCAGCTCCCCACACTGCTGCATCCCAGAAAGCAGCGACACCGGGGAACCCAGCACGTGGCGGGGGGGGGGTTCCCCGGCCAAGTCTTGGGGTACTCCCGGTGAAAGTGAGCCTCACACACGATTAGGGTGCCCCCCACCCAGCACCTTCTCCGGGGCAGCCTCACCAGCTTTTTTAAAACAATAAACCCCAAAAAGCTTGTACTTCTTGTCCGGGAAACCCAGGTTGCGCACTCCGGGCTCCCGGCCCCCGCAGCGTGCCCGGGGATTGACGATGGGGTAGCGGATGCTGCCGTCCTCCAGCCAGCCGGCTTCGCAGCGGTCCAGCAGCTGGATCTTCCAAGCGGCGTAGAGCTGGCCCACTTTGGCCACGGCTGCCCCGTTGTTCTTGCAGGCCTGCACCGCCTCGGCGTAGCTCAGCTTGCGGTACGTCTTCAAGAAGTAGACTTTGCCTGGTTGGTGGGAGAGGGGGGGCAAAGTAGGGGCTGTTGGGGACGGGGACCCAGCTGCAGCATCCTGCACCCGGCACGGCACCGGCACCCGGCGGGGTGGGATGCGGGCAGGGATGGAGCTGAGCGGTGCAAGCCTTGTGGACGTCCCCCCACCCCCCCAACACATTTTGGGGGGGGGCTGGAGGAGACGACTGGCCGGGTGGGCTCTGTGGAGCCACCGCGGCGGTGCGGGCAGATTTATGGGGGCTGCACGGCGGCGGTTGGTGATGGTTCCTCGTGGCGATTACACCCGCTATTTATCCTGCCTGCCACCATTAAATAAACATCGGCAGAGCCCCCCCGCACGGGCCTGCCAGCCAGGAGGAATTTACACAGCCCGGGAGCCCTCCCTGCTCCCATCTGTCTTGCGTGGCCCCGGCCTCATCCATCACCCAGCCCGTTTGCTGCTGCAATTACCTCCGTCCCCTGCTCCTGCCCGGGGAAGATGGGTTTTGCTAAAACCAGGTGTCCCAGCCCCAAAGGTGATGGGACCAGATCCTGGTCCTTGCTGGGGGTCCCCAGCACCAAACCCCATCTTGATGTGCTGGGGAGCCCAGGGTGGGCACATGCAGCCGCATCCTTCTGTCAGTCAGGGCTGAGCACCTTCCCGGACCGTCATGGCAACCCCCCCCCACCCCGCCCAGCCAAAACGGGGAGCTGGGTGCTCTGTGCCTCAGTTTCCCCTCCCTGCCGCCATTACCGTTGAGATTGGAGGTGAAGCAGAAGGCGTCGTAGTGCTCGCTCTCCTTGTGCCGATAGCCATAGTTGCGTACCCCCACCGGCGTGTCCTTGCGGCCGCACTCCTCCCGCGGCCGAGAGATGGGATACTGCACCGAGCCGTCCTCCAGCCAGCCGGCGTTGCACCAGTCCATACCCTCCAGCCAGGCCTGGTGCAGCTGGTCGTGCGAGGCCAGGATGCCATCCTGCTCCAGGCACGCCTGCTGCGCCTCGTGGAAGTTCAGGGTGTAGCGACCCAGGCGCGGGTGGTAGGGGAAGATCACACCTGGGGGGATGGAGAGGAAGGCTGGGGTGTGGGGGGGGTCTCCCCCACCTTATTTTGCAGCTGCACCCAACGAACGGGGTCACTGGCGCAAGGCACCGGGAGCCGGCAGAGAACAGGGGCTGCGATGGGCAAAGTCCAGCGAAGACAAGCTGCCATCGTCTCTGCTCGGGGACTTTGGATGCTCCAGGCTTTGCTCAGTAACCCCAAAGGCCCCCCCACCCTGTGACCGCAGGGACCCCCACGGCACCCCTGGGCTCCAGGAGCTGCTGCTCTGGGACCTGGGGACATCGGTGGTGCCCGCGCAGGGTCCAGCAAAGCCCTGGCATCCTCAGAGCGAGCCCGTACCAGGCGGAGCAGCGCTGCTGTGCCTCCTGAGCCCCCAGGAAAGTGTTTTCCCCCTTTCCTGGCATCCTCAGCCACAGCAGCCCGTCCCGGCGGGCTCAGAGCCGCGTACGGTACCAGCACTGCTGCCACGGCCCGATCCCCCCCAGTGCTTTACGAGGCCGTGCCACTATCTATCTCCAGCGTTTATTAGCTGCCAGCCTGTAAACCTGGAGCAACAATAAAAGCCAATAACAGAGGCAATAAACCACAGCACACGCCAGGAAAAACAACCGGCCGTAAAGCAGGACCAAGCCCAGCTTAGGGATGCGGCACCGGGAACCGTGTCCTGGCCATCCCACACAGGACACGGCAACACCCGGGGTCCTCCCCGTCCCTGTGCATCCTCCCCGGCATAGCCGTGCCGCTACCTTCGAGGTCCAGCTTGACCATGCCGGTGTCATCCTCGAGCTCATTGGTGACCTCACACTCGTAGCGGCCGTAGTCTTGCAGGGTGACGTTACGGATGATGAGCGAGGCATCGCCGAAGCCGTCCTCCTGCAGAGCCGTGCGGCCGCGGTAGCTACCGAACGCCCGCCGCGCCTTCCCCAACGCCACGAAGACGTCCACGAAGGCCATCGGCTCTGTCACCTTGGTCCACTTGAGGCGGATCTCGGCCGGGTCGTGGGCAGACATGTCGTAGTGGTACCGGCAGGGCAGGATGATGGTGCCGCCCCGGTGCGTCACCACCTTCCCCGGGGCCGTTTGCACGACCACAGCCCCGCTGTCACCCTCTGTAAGGGACACCGAGCTCAGGGGAGTCCCTGTCCCCAAACCTGCCCTTGTCTCCATCCCAGGTAGTGCCAGCACAGGGGAAGGACCCACGGTGGGGACAAGGCAGGCTGGGGCCATGGGGCAGGTGGGGCGACAGCCTTTGGGGTGAATTTCCATCTTTTGGGGGCTTTGCAAACCCTGAGGTGGGTTGGGCAGCTCCTGGCCAGGGCAGGGGACACGCAATGGATGCCTCAGAGACCCTGATCACGCTTTAATGGATATTAAACCCAACAGCGCTCCCCCCGTCCCATTCCAGGGGGTTCCAGCCCAGCTCCCCGCTGCGGACCCCCGTCCCCACTCACCCATGACATGGACCACCTTCTTCCGTCCCCGGGTGCTGAGCAGCGCGTCGGAGGTGAGGACGCCGGCGAGGAGCAGCAGAGCTGCTGGGCCGGCGGCCCAGGGGCCTCGGGGACGCATCTGGGGGGAGAACAGAGCCCCTTAGCACCCACCAGCCCCCCAGGGAGGAGAGCGGCAGACGGGAGGTCTCTGAGCAAACCCACACTCTGCCCGATCGCCGGCTTTGGCAGCCCCCCCCGGCATCGCTGCCGATCCCCAACCCGCACCCCACGGGGGTCGTGCCAGCCGGGGAAGGAGACACTGTCACCCACCGCCACCCCTTGTGGGGAAGCCCCCCACCCCATCTCCCACCTCAAGCAGAGTTGGGGGTGACCACCAGCGCTGGGTCACCCATTTTCTTCCCCCCCCCGCACGGAGCATCCCCGGCCCGTGGGGACCCCCGGTGCCCCCCGGCCTGTGCCGGCTCTGAACTCCGGTTCACCCGCTCAGTTACAGCCGGGATGAATATTTCATGGCAGACGCGCCGGGCCGGATCTCGTGAGTTATTTATGTCAGCGCTGCCACATCTGGAAACTGAACTGATGGCGTGGAAGTGGGCTGTGGCTGCCGGAGCCCCCCTGGAGCCCCCTGATTCCCTGCCCTGCTCCATGTCCCCCCACTTCCCCGGGGAAAAAAAGTGTGTCGGAGCCCCCGCTGCCCCCCGGGGGGCTGCGATTCCCCCCCTGAACCCTGTGTTCTCGGATATGCCCCAGATCCCAGCCCAGGCAGCCTGGGTGTTTGTGTGTGTCCCCCCCATGGGAATCAGCCCCCCCGTGGGGCTGGGGAAGGGGAACCAGGGCTTGGCCGTGGGGCAGGGGGAG